ATAAATGCTAAGTTTAATGTACTATAGAATACATTTATATTTGTAGTTAATTTTATAATATTTCTTACTATGCAATTGTATGATATATGATTATAATATAATATAAAATTATTTAAACATGTGGAAAAATTGAAAAATATTATTATTTTATTAAATGATTTATATTTATAATAAACATTTATAAATAATTGTTTTATTATAAAGTAACATTTAGTAAAAATCAGACACTTACTTAAGTCTTATTGTTGATGTAAGAATACCTTTTTTGTTTATTTAACTGTGTAGACTATTAAACAAATAACTGTACAGAAAACAATATTCAATCGTATTCAATTTTAATTCTTCGCTGTTTATTGAACTCGAATCGTTTAAAGTTTCGAAACAATTTTGACGAGTACACTTTTAAATTCGATTATAATATCACATAATATATTGTGTTCATTTCATTTAACACATTAACATACATGCTACGTCGTGTATACTGTGATACACTATGTATATTGTGTATTATGTTCGTGACGAAGCAAACGTTCGCGTTCTCGTGATATTTACGTCGACGAATGAAAAAACCGTGTTATTAAAATTAATCACGACTGTCAAGAACCTAAGTACATAATATGTGGAAAAATACATGTTACATTATATAATTATAAAGAATTCGGAAAATAATGTAGAGAATGATTGATTTGGACTCGTACGACGTAACGGTGCGCGTTGCACATACAAACGTGTCGCACACGTCAAATGCAAGAGAAAAAATATAGCCATTTAGCGACGACAAAGAAGTAAACAATCTTTGGACGTCGTACAGATTTATTGGGAAAGAATGATACCGTTTGTGATCTTATACACATATAATTGACTTGGTTCGCTGAACGATCGACAGACAAAACAGCGGAATTTTATGATTTTGTGTTGTCTAGTCAAATATGGTAGTTTGAACATCACATAATGTTGGTCCAAGTCTTGTTTTTAAAACTGACATCTTCAATGTTAATTGATAACGATTCAAAAGTGTTCACCCGATCGTAAAGGTTTTCCAAATACGACGGGCTTTAAAAAGGGTATTTTTCACGGACACGATTTGAGTGAGGACATTAAAAATACATTTGTGATCTAGATGTACGTTCACTGAGTCGATTATCGGCCAAGGGAAATAAATCTCCTCCGGTGGGTTAGTTATATGTATATATACGTAAAGTAAGAGTACTTATAGTACACAATATAACAATAACTCATATAGGATTACAAGTGCGCTCTCAAGAGATCCACCAATCACGACTGAAACATAATTGCGTGTACGATCTCTTGCAGAGAAAATATCGGAACGCACCATTACACTAATACCTACACGGTTTGCTTGAAGATTGATTGGTAACAATGTAACAGAAATATGTGTACATGTGTATATGTATGTATACGGAGTGGACATTTTATCGTTGGCCGAGCACTGTTAACCATTGCAAGAACTTAATATTCGTGTTATGAGCAATACTGGGCATGAATGAGTTTTAAAAATCGAGTAAAGGTACTTTACGAGTTAATTATTTTTTTTAAAGAAACATCTAACTAAGAGATCACATTTTTTCTCTGTTATACAGATATCAATCGATTTATTAATCTTTTAGTCACGTTAAGTTATTTGTTATTCGATTTAAATTCTAGAGATCAAAAATGAATTTATTTACAAATCATTATTGTATAAAAAAAATAATTTTCTTTCAAAAGGTAAAGTTACTTTTTTTTATTCAACTCGGAACTTTTACAAGTTAATGGAAAAGAAAAGTAGGCACATTGAAACTTTAAACTTAACGTTTCTGTATGCTCAACCTTAGGTATCCGAAAAATCTTTAATCATTGACGAATCTTAACAGCAGACTTTTGCGAGTACACGAGTAGTTCTGTTTATGTTAATCCTTAATCCCGCTTCAGTGTTTTTAGGAAACTTTCGATGTCGGGATGCGGATGCATACGGTTCAGGCAAACGAACGCTGACGATATCCAATCGTCATATTTCATACGCGCAGCGATAAATGACCGAAACGACGAGGGGACGTTAAACGAGGAGAACGTTCTGTACGGCGAGAAGCTCGAATCGAAACGTTATTCGTTCGTGTACCGAACGTGTATTCGATCACCGGAGTTCGAACAGGAAATAGCGCGACGCGTTGTTCGGTTTGCGAGCCATTAAAACGCGTCGAAATGTTCGCGGGAGTGTGTAGTTTTTTTTTTTTCGTCCATCTTTCCCAGCGAAACGTAACAAACGCGGTATAATCCTTGGTAATAACAATGCGCGGTGACGCGGAGACGAAACGCTCGTCCTGTACGCGAAACACGTGCAATTGTTACTACGGCGGACGTGTCAAGTGCGCGAGCGGGCACGGTCCGCGATCGTGAGCTCTCCGTGCCGTCGTCCACTCGGTTTCTCGGCTAGCTCGTCGCACGCATTCCGGTCGGCCGAGATGGTATTTAGGTCGATCGCGGTCGTCACATTGCGGTCGTAGCGCCGCCGGTCGAACATCGAAAACCGGCTCGGTCGGCCGTTCCTAGACCGGTGGAATCCTTTTACGGAATCGCAATACGCATTACAAGAATATCGTTACTGTTATTGTTTTCACGCCCGTACGCGAATCGTCTCGGAGATCGCGCGAACCCGTCGGCGACGTCCGCGCGCTAAAAAGGAAACGTCAATCGCGCACGTAGGTGTTCGCGAAAGTAGAAATAGCGGTAAAAAAAAAAAAAATTAAAAAAAATACCGCGAACAATGTTCGAACGACACATCACCACCAGCACAAATAATATTAATCGAAAAAAATATGTGTTTTCCGCCGCGCCGTTGCGTTTATATGTTTATGTGTACAAATGAAAATTATAGGACGTACATGAGTCGTTTCATTCGTATCTGCACGTTCATTATAATATTCGACCATGATACGGCGATCTCCGCGCAGGGGACCGAACACCAAACGTTTTCGAGCACAGCGAAATAATACGCGTTATCATTATGTTTCCCATTGTCTTTGTAGAAAATAGGACGTATAAAAAAATCATAAGATTTTGCTTTAATGAATTCGATACAACGGCCTAATCTAGGAAAATGGTCGATCGATCGGTCACTTAATCCACTTATGAGTGCCGCACACGTTCCAACGTATGTTTTTCACTCGAAACGAACGCGTTGAGCGCTCGTTTGTGACGAATCGGATCCATAGAACCTCACTTCGACACGTTCGACACGCATAATATAATTATAAAAAAATATAAAATATGAGAACAACAATGACCTATAAAGCAGGTGTTTGTCATTCAAAGATCCCTCTAGAAGCGTGTGATGAGAAATCCAACACAAGATGATACTGTCCCTGCTGGACGGGTAAAACTACGAAGTCCATGAGAAACGTCTTGATCATATGCGTATGCACGAGGGGTTCCAGGTTGATAATATGCTAATTATGATATATATTTTAACGATATTTCAAATGAAGAGTCCGGTATAATAACCTGGTATCTCCGTATTTTGAAAATTTTAAGGAGACGTATAAGAAATTGAATAAGTTTGTTGAATTTCTGCTGAAATATATCCTAAAATTCTTCAAATGTAAATTATTAACTAACTTACTTTTAAATTATGTATACAGGTCTTACTTTTCAATTATCTCAAGTACTGAATTTAATTAATAATAATAAAGAGAAATGAAGATGCCAGTAGGTTATTGCACTAAAATGAAGGAATCTTTTCTTTTTACATTCAACTTTAAAATTTGTGGTGGAAAAACGAACACAGACCAAAGAAATCTTATAAATATTACATATATGTATATAATAGTCATATTTTACAATATAGTGAAATGCGAGAGAAGTTTTTTTTTTCAATTATATATTTTATGTTCCTTCCAGCAACTTACTATCTTATCATCAAATCTTATCTTGAACATCGAACATTCGTGGTATGTTGAAAATAAACGAAAGCTCAACCTTCCCATAAATAAATACGGATGTCTCCTAAGGTAGTAGTTTATCTTCTTTAATTGATAGTATTTTTATTTCTGACATACCTTCTTCAAACAGTACTAGTAATAGGAACATTTGTTAATTATACAGCCGTATTAACTTCAAACAATGATGCCAGTTTGGCCTCAAATCAAATTCAAAATCACCTAAAATAAATTTATGATTGAGCAAAAAAATTGTAAAACCAAAATTAACCAATAAATGTCCTCACAATTAAAAATTGCACTCTTAGTACTTAATGCCTTCACTTAAATTAAATAATTAAGAAATACTCTTAAAACTATGTTTAAAATACTTAGATATCACTTTAGATAAAATGTTGACATATATGTTAACTATAGTTTAACCATACAAAGGAAAAACGCAAGCAATTAAATACTTTATTTACTACGACCAATATTAATATCAAAAATTAGTCTGAAAAATAAAATTCTTTTTTACAAAACAGCTTACTCATATGGTCTTATGGTATGTTTTCAAATTTGAGATTATACTAAACCCTCAAATATTTATTCTGTCAAAGATAAAAGTATATTAACTTGCCAACAATCATTATAAAATATTTCACTTCAAATTAAATGTTCAAATAAAAAATTCTCACATAAATTGTATATTCCCACATCAACCGATGACTCAAAATAAATTGGTACAGAGACTTATTATTTTGATTAAAAAAAAAAAAAAAACAATAATATTAATAAAAAATACTTTAATCGTATATAAAAAAAAAAATCGAGATCCTGAAGTTCTGTCAGTTAGAATAGTTACCACTTTACGAAATTTATGTTTAAGTCTTCTGTATTATATCACTACTACGAGTACCTGATGTTATAAAAAACAGATTGTATGTAAATCTCATTAAATAAAAAATAAAAATAAAATTATAAATTTTGTATAATATCACAGAGGTACCTGTTTTTGTACCCAATGCCGTATCTGGGGGGGGGTCCAGGGTGTCTGGACCCCCCCTGAAATTTCTTCAATATTTTACGAATGTTTATAGTACTTATTTATTTTTAACACCAACATAAATATTTTCTGTCAAAAATGACTTAAGCTCCAATTAATCATTGACTGATTTTAATTTTATATCATAATATCATATGAAAATATGATATTAATTTTAATAAAAGAAGATTAAATCTTTTTCTGTTTTATTTTTAACCAAATATCAAAAGTTAAAATCTAAATTCAATAAAATTACAATACAAATGTTTTGGTCCTCTCCCGAAAAAAATTTCCAGATACGTCCTTGTTGATACAAAATTATAAATGCAAAGCATCTCCACTCATGTCATATTAGCTTATTTGGCAGACGGAGTTACATCATTTTTTTTTTTCATTTTATTTTTCATTAGCTTTCAACAATAAGACATTATCAATCGATAATTAAACTCATTAGACCGATAAATTTAAACATACATAATAATATTTTCAAATAATTTAGTTAGATAAGAATAAATTATCCATAATTATGTAGTGCACTAAAAGGCCAATACAATAACTGACATTATTAACGTGATAAAATATGTAATTACAGTAAAACGAAGCAAAGAAATCGGAGAAGATAAACACCGTGGAATACAACGTTAACTTAATATATCGGTATGAAAAGAGATTAGTAGGCTGATTAGAGATTTTAAATTTGAATTAAATTGCGATAGCGTTGTTGACATAAATACCGAAGAAGTGTTTTCGTTCACAACGTTTACAGCGTTTCGTTACGTGAGCACCCAGAACCCTAGCCGACGGAGCCTTTTTCGATCGGTTGACCGTTTCCGTATCCGTTTGAATCGATTGGTTGTTTCTTGTCGTGAGCCAGAAGAACCCTTTTATAGTTCTTTGCGATTGGCATGAAACGCATGTCGTCGGTAAATGTCCGCTACTCATCGCAGTCGTCAGCCGTGCGGTCTTGCCTAGGTTCGACGAAGCGAACGTTGGTGGGCAGAATGTTTTTTAGTGTGCTCGTACGATTGGCAACCGTTTGTACCGAGTAGCGAAGATCCCTTGTCCGTTTTTTCAACGATGATATCGCATGAGGTCATCGCGCTAAAATTTAGAAAAAACCATTTTTCTTCGTCGGTACATGAACACGGATTTCGATGAGAACGGTACCGGCGATCCGGCCCCTTCAAACGTTCTTCCGCAAAAAATTGTTCGTAGTGTAAATACTGTTCGTCGAGTTTAAGGCGCAACGTGACGATTCGATGTTTGGCCACTCGTTCGAACTGCGATTGCCACCGTACTACGTCTGCCGCGGTAATGGTTATTTTTTTCAACGGAAAATTTCGTACCCCTACACTAAGCAACTAAGACGACGTACGCGTTCGGAACGATACGATTTTCTTTCGACGCGTCCAGGGGCTATGCACATCGTTCGGTTTCCGTTCGAAGCGCAAGGCGAAACGATCGATCGACAACCGGGACGGAAGAAGAGAGGAGTTCGTCTGCTGACCGAAACCTTACCGAAGTCCCATACGCGATCGGTGCACGAGAGAGTTTACCGAGAGCATTGTCGACGCGAGGGTTGCGCGGAAAGAGCAATCGCACACAGGGCACTTTTGGATCGGCTCTTGGGCCTCGCGCTTCCACTTTGTGGTGTATTCAGATCCATAGGCGCGTTGACATTTTCCAGTTGGTGGTTCGAGCATAGTCAATACCACCCGCCCGCCTACCAAAGAATCATATTAGGTGCAGAAATTTGCCCAATTCCTATTAAATCACCGATTTTATACTACCAACCGCTATCAGTTATCGTAAAATGTCCCGTATTTTTAAAATATAAATCTGGGATCCCTAGATTGGAACCGCGTTTCGATCGATGTACGCGACCGCCGAACGTTGCGCGGCGGACTGCCGAGAGCGCGCTAGTCAGTGGCGTTATCGCAGTGCCGACGGCCGATATTGTTTTAGCGTGTTGGTCACACTGTCGGCCGGGAACGCGCTCTAATCAAACAAACCGAGAACCGTAAACATATCTATCAGATGCTGTTCTGTTTTCACGGTACCCTATGTCGCTGTGCTAGCCGCTCCCGTTACCCGATTAAAACGTATGCGTTTCTGATTTCCATCCGTTTCCAGTGAGATCAATAAGTTTTTACTCTCGTCGTGGTATTTCGTTCGCGGCCCAGATCGTCATCATGAGCCGTCGTCGAATTCACGACAGTTACGAAGACTTGTACGGTAAGTCTTATGTTCCGTTTTGTCTACCTAATCCACTGAAACCATTTCGGACCCATTCGATACGATTTCAAATACAAATCAATGCAAACTCTTCCGTGACGCCGTATCGAGACCGACTCGCTACGATTTAACGACGAGTTCCACATCGTGTTACAAACACCAGTTCAGAGTTTGGCAAACTGCCGAAAGAATTAAAGTAGACACTAGTAAAAGTTAAAGGTTTTAATTTACTAGATAGGTCACTAGTGATCAACTCTATACATGTATTCAACAGCGAAATCATATCATGTCTAAATTAATGTTGAATGCTACATCTCTATTTATTCATAATGTTCGATGCAGTACTCTGCATTGGCGCACATACGGGGGTGCCAGGGAATGCTTAGCACCCCCGAGTTCTAAACTAGTACCTCTAGTTTATCTTGAGGTAAAATTATTGTTTAAAAAGGATTATTTTGCATTTATAAGAATGAATAAACTCCAGTTTGCATTGATAATGCCCTCGAACGTACTCATACTATGTAAATACATATGATATTGGGTATTTGTGTTTATGTTACCTATGCATGTGATACTGTTATTATGTTCAAGTTTATTGCTGGAATACCATTTAAGATTTTGGTTTTGTTTACTGTCTACAGGTTTGATTGCTTATTGATAAAAAAATAGTTATGTTAATTAATAATATTTAGTTATAATATAAAAAATTGCTACAATTATAATTAAATAGTAAAACTAAAACATTTTATGCTAAGTAATTGAAGGGCAGTGGTTTCCAAGGGGGAGAGGATAATTTTGGGTTGACTAGGAAGAGAATATGGTGATAATAAAATTACAAAAATAATTATGATATATTAAATTTGCAATGTTTAAAATTGAAATCACTACATATTTTCAAATTATTCCACATCGATAACAGTCATATTTTATATTGATAGTGGTTAAACCTTTTCGCATTTAATCTAATATTGATAGGTACAAAGTTTAATTAGCATGATTAAAAAAATCGTCTAAACTCTAAATTTAGAGGGAGGGAGAATGAGATTTTTTAAAATTTACCATAGGGCATAAGATGAAAAAGGTTGGGAACGACTGTTGTAAGGGGTTTGTGATAGGCTTCGCATTGGACGGGTAATTTTAGCACTCCCAAGTTTCATACTGAATGTGCGCCTATGGTACTCTAGGTGTTTTTGTAAAAAAACATAAGTTTTCATTATACCTAATATCAGTTATTTGTTGTTGGGAAATAATTTGGTGATATTAAATAACTAATTAAAATAATATAAACATACCTATTAAAAGTAATAAATAATAAAAACGATATAGAATCTAAAACATTATCTTATGGTAGTATATATGTGTAAAACTAGTATAAGGAGACATAATATTATGAAATATATTAAAAAGAATATTGGCTTACTATGTACAGCACTTGTCTATGATTTTACCGACTTCAGAAATTTGTTCGCCAAGCCATCCACCAATGTTATATTACTTATTTTTTTTCTGGTCATTAACCTAAAACTGTTTTGTGATTTAAATTCTTGTTTATTTTTCGTTTGGAATTGAAATAGTATTTTCGAGTACATGAACATGATGTATCCAATCAATAATTGTGATACAATTGTATAATTGTGTTATACCAAAAGTTTGTACTAACTGTATAGACATAACTACTTGATACTATTTGGAATAAATAGCTTATCAAATAGATATCTTATTAAATTTACTTCTAATATTTTTGTATATTTTATATGTAAAAAAACTGTTTTGTTTAATACAATTTAAAAGCGATAATTTTGATTATGAATTAAATGATAAATGTTAATGAAAAAAATTCATTTCTGATTTAGTAAATTCCATTTTATATCATATTTTAATATTTTGGCATAGATACTTATTTATTTTATCTAGTGAAAAATACATTCACTTTTTATATTTTTTTAATTACATAGATAATATGGTTATATTTGAATCCTTTAGTTAAAGTAATATTTTTAATACATTTTTACTAAGATATTATTTACTACTAATCTATATTCTACTAGCTGAATTACCCGTCGTTGCTGGGTTTAAGTATATAAATGTATGTAACCTGCCAAGATTAAATTTTGTTAAATCTATTGAAATTTAAATTAATTAAGATTTTTGAAATAATATTTTATACATATTAATTTAGTTTTTAAGATAATGATTATTATCATAACCTATTCGATAAGTTATAGCTTACAACTACCTGAACCTCTCTACAGTTTGGTATTCTGTTGAATACATATAGCATCTCATTTCTCCAAATATTTTACCTTTTGTCAATAAGTTCATGGTCTTTTTGACTTTTAACCGAAACACTCTTGCAATTATATCATCTCGATCATATGATCTTTGACCGGGAAGTAAGAGCTCTTTTATCTCGTCCCAGCGAGGATTACATGTAAAAGTAATAAAAAGGTCAGGACGACCGTAATGTCTAACGTAGGTCATAGCATCTTGTGTTCTTTCGTGCATGTACCTTGGCCCACCAATAAAAGTTGACGGGAGTATAACCCTTTGGCCTAACTGATTTATATATATATATAGCTTACTGTTTTATATATACAGATAATTCATTTTCAATAGCGCAGTTATCGACCTGGTCAAAAAATAATAAACCGATTACAACCCTTTAAATTCAAAATTTTGAAAAATCCTTTCTTAGCGCACGTCTACATCATAATAGCTATCTGTATGCCAAATTTCAGCCAGATCTGTCCAATGGTTTAAGCTGTGCGTTGATAGCAGTCAATCAGCTTACTGTTTTATATATACAGATTACAATTATAAATTTAGATAGTCTAATGAATATTATGAAATATTTTACAATAATTGTATCTAATTGATTGATTCTTCTTATTTTCTTTTATAACTAACTCAATAATATAATTAATATTCAATTAAATATTTTAAATTTATTTACCAATATTGATGTTAAATATAAAATGTTTTTGTTAAAATTTTTAGGTGCTGACCGTGCATATAAAAAACGTCGTCGTGGTGGTTCAGAAAATATTGATTTAGAAGATAGATTGGAAAGTCTTATTCTTAAAGTCGGAGAAAAGGTATTTTATTTATTTATACAATGTATGTAAAAAAAATGCATAATCATGGACTATTATAAATATTTTTAATTTTTATATACAGACCTCTAGTACTTTAGAAAGTAATTTAGAAGGTTTGGTCAGTGTATTAGATGGCGATTTACCAAATTTTAAGAAAAAAGTACTAAAATTATTGGTAGATTGTGCTGTTAATATGCCTGAGAAGTGTACCATTTATTCAACCTTAGTTGGATTGTTAAATGCAAAAAATTATAACTTTGGTGGAGAAGTAAGTAACATTGTTACGGTATTTTATTGTTCAAAAAATATTTGTGTTTGTATAATAATTTTATAACCTTTTTAAAATTTAGTTTGTTGAAAATATTGTGCGTGCTTTCAAAGATAGTCTTAAAAATAACTCTTGGAATGAAGCTAGAGTACTTTTACGTTTCATTGGTGATTTGGTGAATTGCCATGTAGTGTCAGCTAGTTCATTTGTGCAGTTAATGGGTAGTTTATTGGATGTTACCAAAGAAGATGGAGTTCCTAATGTACGGAAGGATTGGTATGTTTTTCAATGTACAATTAAATATTATGATGATAATTCATTTTTGTATTTTGTTACAGGTATTGTTATGCTGTTATGTCATGTTTACCATGGGTTGGCAGAGAATTATATGAGAAAAGAGAATCTCCTCTTGAATTGCTTTTAACAACAATTGAGATTTACTTGAACAAACGGCCTAAGAAGCATGTTAACATGCTAAGAATTTGGTCCACTGATGTACCTCATCCTCAGGAAGAATACTTGGAATGCTTATGGAATCAGATTAAAAAATTGAAACATGATAATTGGACAGAAACGATTATACCAAGACCTTATCTGACATTCGACAATGTTCTTTGTGAAGCACTTCAGCATAATTTGCCTGTTATTGTTCCTCCTCCTCATCATAATGCTTGTGTGTATCCAATGCCTTGGGTAGTTTATCGAATGTTTGATTATACAGATGTAACTGATGTAAGTGAACTACAATTAAATTAAAATTTTTGATTTTAATATTTAAATTACATTATTTAGGGTCCCATAATGCCTGGTGCTCATTCAATTGAACGTTTCTTGGTGGAAGAACATCTAATACAAATAATTGATATGTCATATAAAAATAGAAAAGAGTGGTAATAATTACTAATTTAACAACTTTTAATCATAAGAAATATGTTAAAACAATGTACTTTAAATTATATATGTATGAATTTGTCTTGTTTATTTTAGCGCAACTGATTTAATGAATTTTGTACACAAAAACAAAGTACCTTTGGAGTATTGTATTGTTGAAGTGATATTCAGTTTGATGTTTCATCAACCTAAACCGAAATATTTGGAGGTCATGTTCGGCTCTGTCTTTATAGAATTGTCTAAATTGTCAACTAATACAATGCCACTTGTATTGGCTCAGACAACAGAAATACTTTACTCTCGTATTGAATCCATGCATGTGTGTGCTTTTGATAGGTATATTAAGTCATGCTGTTTATATTGATTGTGAAATTGCTTTTAAACAAACACATTTGTTAGGTTTGTTTCATGGTTTGCATATCATTTGAGTAATTTCAAATTCAGTTGGTCATGGCAAGAGTGGGCTGATTGCTTGGCCTTGGATCCAGAACACCCAAAACCAAAATTTGTCCGTGAAGTTCTTCAAAAAGCTATGAGGTATATACATTTTATAATTCTGTTATCTTAATAATATATTATAAATGCTAATGATTATTTTCAGGTTATCATTTTATGAACGAATGCGTGACATAGTGCCACCTGATTTTGAACCTTTGTTACCAGAAAAACCTGAACCAAAGTTTAAATATGCAATGGAGAAGTCCAGTAAGAGATTAGATTGTAGTTGTATTGATATATGTTTTTATTAAAAATCATATTTATTTTCAGATTTACCGGGCCAATTTCTATCAAACACATTACTTACCAAGATAAGAAGCAAGGCATCTGCTGATGAAATTATTGAAATATTGAAAGAACCATTGATGTTAGAAAATGGTGAACTTATTGATCCAGCAGATAATAGCCCTTCAAATTTGACCAAAATTGATTCTTTTGTTCAGACATTATTATTCATAGCCAGCAAATCATTTTCACATGCTTTTGCAGCTATTACAAAGTTTATCAATGTGTTCAAGGTAAAATTAAGCACAATAAATATAAATTAAATCATTAATTTTATACTTTTATAACATTTTAGGTTTTAGGAGAAACTGATGAAGGCCAATTACAAATACTCCGGAGCACTTTCAATTTATGGAGTGCTGACCAACAAATGTTAACTGTACTTATTGACAAAATGTTAAAAACCCAGATTATTGAATGTTCGTCGGTTGCAAATTGGATATTCTCTAAAGAAATGATTCCAGAGTTTACAAAGTAATAAATAATAAAGACAATCTTATCGCTTTTGCATTTTTCACTTCTTACAATTATTTAGGCTTTATATTTGGGAGATATTATCATTGACCATCAATAAGATGTCCAGACATGTGGATCGACTGACCAGAGAGTTAAATGAAGCTAGAGAAAAGTTACGTACAACAGCAGCTACCTCTAATAGTTCAGATGATAGTGATACTGAAACGGAAAAGGCTGAGACAAAACCTTCTCGGGCGTCAACAACAACATTTGGAGGTCAAGTCCCAATGGATGTTGACGACAATGTAACTGAAGAAATGGTTGAGCGTATGGAAGAGAAATTAGAAATGGCACAAGCTGATCAGAAAAATTTGTTTTTGATTGTATTTCAGGTATTTTTATTGTGCGTAAAAACATTAAACAATTATTATACTTTGTTTTTATATTTCAGAGATTTATAATGATATTATCTGAACATCTTGTAAAATGTGATACAGATGGTAAACCATTTGATACATACTGGTACAAATATACTATTGGACGATTACAACAAGTATTTTTAGCTGTAAGTATTAAAATTCTTTATTAAAAGCTATACTGTAATTTCTAATTCAAATGTATTGATGTCTACTTTAAAAATATAATAAAATAATAAAATATTCAAATGCTTACATTGGTTTAAATGCTATATAATCAAATATTTAAATTATTTATTTTATTTTTTAATGTTATAATATTTTGTTATTTTATTGATAATGATAATTTAATAATCATATTTTATCAAATTATTTTGTTCCAAAAAAATTTCTCCGACTTAAACTTGTTAAAAAAAATATTTAAAAATGCATAACTGATAGTTTTTGTATTGTAAATAATTTTGGTATTTTATTAGGGTTTTTTTTTTTCAAAATTGTAAAAACACGAATTTTAAAATGTCCACATGCACTATATATCAAATTAACTATGAAAATTGTTATAATACATTATATTTATAAAATGGTTATTTAATTATGTTTTCAGCACCATGAACAAGTACAGAAATACAGCAGTACTTTGGAAGGATTACTTTTCACTCAAGATCTTGACATTCATATTCTTGAAGTATTCCATCAGTTCTTGGCACTTCGTTCATAATGACTATTTATAATTATTTCTTCTCATTACTCAATGGAATAGTTAAGGTTATCATATACTCTCTTTCGATCGTCTATTATTTTTATTTTTAATATCACTAAATAACAATAGTTTGAAAATACATTTTTATTATACTTCATAAAATCACATCATTATTACACTAATTAATTCTTTTGTATGATAAATTTATTTAAAAAATATATATATATTATAAAGATTATTTTTTAAACATTTCCAACAATTCATTGACATCGTCTTTGGAGCCTAAAAATATCGGACTTCTCTGATGCAAAGCTGTTGGCTGTATGTCCAATATGGGTATCTTGCCATTACTCGCTACACCACCTGCCTCTTCAATGATGTAGGCCATTGGGTTACCTTCGTACAGTAGACGTAACTAGTGGAAAAGTGCATAACAGATTCAAATAAAAATACAGCAATTAAATTGCAATGTTCATCTAAGAGTATACCTTGCCATTTGGTGATTGTTTTGTTGCTGGGTACATAAATATGCCTCCATACTTCAATGTGCGGTGTACATCTGCCACCATTGAACCAACATATCTAGCACCAAACGGCTTACCCCACTAGGGAAGCAAAATTTATTTTAGGTGGTCGAAGAGAATTTTATAATATAAATCATGTGCATTGATAAAAATTACCTTTGGGTCTTTTTTTCTTCTGACATACTCTGTCACGGTCTCGTCCCACAGATGCGAATACCCTTCGTTTATGCTGTAAATGTTTCCTTTGCTGGGTATTTTGATGTTACGTTCAGTCAGTAAAAATTCCCCTATAGCCTGTTAACAGTAATATATATATATATATATATATATATTTATTAAAAATATTTGCATATGATATTAGTTATTATTTATATTATATTATTTATATTATTATATAAACCTCAGATGATCAGTTTGTAATTGAAACATAATTGAAACTAAGTCTTAGAATCGTTTGTTTTACCATTATTCTGTTTACAGCTTGTAATACTAGGTAAGGACAATGTACCTCTCTTTCTTCTGATGTCTCATGTTGAACAATTCTTCATGTAATATCAAAATTCGTCTTTGTCGTGTAAAACATTAACTGTTGTTTATTTTCTAATTGGTTCGTGAAACTATTACAGTCATTGAATAAGATTTGATCATATTTGCGGTATTCAAAAAAATGTTAATTTATAAGTTTCATTATAGACATATGAAAACAATACACGTTTCTTTAAAGTTAATTGCTTATTATTTGATCATTATTCGTAGGTAATAGAACCAAATAAATTCCTATCCTTTATCATTAGGATCTCCTTCACAATATGTGTGTATACATAATTCTAACACCACTCACTCACCGACAATATAATATCGTTTCATTTGAAATGTTAGGGGAATGCACATACAACTATGTGTAGGTATAATTGTATATGATTTTTCGAAAATCACATTTTTATTGATCGAGACAGTTTTGGATTCTATGCTAGGTCCGTGGATGGATACATTTTATAAATATTTGTTTGCATCGAAATGGTAGATGATCGTAATCGTTAAACGTTTAATTCGGATTTTAATGTTTTTCGGGTGATTATGTATAAAGGTCAGGACGAAACAAACACGATGACGGACGACGATGGAATGTTGTTTACAAAACCGTTTCTCGAGTCGAAATCTATGTAGGCCGGGTCACTCCTCATAATCTTATCTGGTTCGAACTGTTTTGCTCGTATTATTACATTATTACCAAATAAACATATTAACTAAAATATTATTATTTATCACGTTCTAAATCAGTTTCAACATTGTTTTATAAATTATAAGAAATTATAGAAAATTATATATTATTAGAAAATTATAAGGAAACAAAATAATATAGCAAAGATTTATTGTAAATTATTATTTTGACACTTTCAATATATATATATATATATCTTTTATCATTTATTATTTAAATGTGCAGGTACTTAGGTTTAGGAATTTTCCTTCAATAATAATTTGTTTGAAACTGATCCTGCCCTCCCCATACAAAAGTTATGTATACGCCACTGCTCATGCGTGCACACTCAGTTGTACAACGTGGATCGGAATATCGCAGTATTTGTATAAACCGTAATCCTTAGTTATTACGTAGATCTTATTTCGACTTTATCCGACTCCCCTCGCCGTAACGATGCCGTCACTCAAATCGTTTTGTTTCGAACAAGAGCTTTCAAATGTTTGTTCCTCCGTCGAATTTTCTGTCCGTTTTCCTTATATTTCGGTATGTTCCCGTATATTTCATAACTGTCGCATCGTTAGCACACGCTTAGGGCCCGAAGCCGATTTCGTTCGGTCTTAACATTTTTTTTTTTTTTTTTTTTTTTTTTTCACTCTAAACCTCGACCATTTCACAGCTGCTATCCCCTCGAGAATCAAATTGTTCAATGCCTACTCGCGCTTCGAAAGAACAAAAACGATGTGCACGAAAAGCATGTAATTCAATAACTATGAGCGAATAATTGAAATTTTTCCGAATCGACGACCGTGATGATCTACTGGTATGGCTGTGGTTGGTGTAGCATTTGTGTTTCAGTTTTTAGGTTCCAACGTTAACGAACGCTCGTCGTACGGCCCAAAACTTATTCAGCCTCAACGGAGGAGGTAGACGGATAAAGTTACCTCCGTTGAAGGCCACTGCTCCAAACTGTGATCCGATTTGAGCCCTCCTTTGTTGACGTGAACCGATTTTCGTCGTGCACAAAGAACGGACGATACGATTCACGTCTCGTGTTATCGAAACGTCGCCGTGCGAACACTACCGTTGGTTCGCTTAGAACAGTGGTCCTCAACCTTTTTTTTTTTTTTTTTGTTCACGGCACACCATTATACATCACAAGTTTTCGCGGCACACTCATGCACTTGACAACAACAACAATTTCGGCTAAACGCTAAGATATCCAGTTGGGTTAAAACCGTGCAGTTTACCTACATACGTATCTGCACAATTAATTGACATTTAACTGTCATAGTTTCATCAGTCGGTATTTTCAAATATCAGACATTTTCCACGGCACACCTAGTCGATCCCGCGGCACACTGGTTGAGAACCACTGGCTTAGAACATTATACAGGCACACCGTTGTGTTTCCAACTTGAGTTTTCACCAAGTCGAACGCTAACGATTACAGCTACGTGGACGTGTAACCAGGCCTGACGAGAAGGGGGTGGGAAAGGGATGATCTGCCCCCGGGCCCGGAAATTTGGGACTACAAATTATTAAAAATTAAATTAATGATAAGAATTCAACGAACACTGCAGTAAAATTGAAGATATACTCCCGGGACCGGGTTCCTCTCTCCACGGCCATGCGTGTAACCGATTTTGGCAACACGGCCGGGCGCGCGTCTGTGCGTTATTTATCCAAAATCATTGTTGGCGCTGCAAAGAAGTTATTTTAATGTTATATGATCGAATGGCTTACCGGATCCAACATGAACCCGTTGACGCCGCTCCCTTTGCCCAACGACAACACCATCATCGTGGCACTGCCGTAGAGCGCGTAGCCCGCGGCCACCATGTTCCTGCCCTTTTGGAACGCGTTTTTGACGTTCGTTTCGATGCTCTCGTCGGTTTTCCTGCGCGAACAAAAAACCGTTATTATTCATGTGCAAACGGATGCGACACGCAGGAGGAACGCGACGATACGGCTACGGTTTGACGGATTAAAATCATCGAATAATAATATGTGATCACACCGTTACGTCGTGCGCGAACGAAAAAAAGGAAACGGTCTGAAAGTTTGCAGTATTGACTTTCTCGTACGCACATACGCCTTCGGCGATTATACAAAGACTTGCAGTTACAGTAGTGCAACAAAGTCCGTGAATCCGGGTGCTTATTTCTCGGTCGGGAGGCACTAAGAGACCGAAACGATTTTTTTTTCGCCGTAATATCTTCTTCGTATCTACATCAAGTCTTGAAAACGCTTATAATCGATGACCATTTTTTTTTTTTTTTTTCAGTGTTAACCGTGACCCCGCAATTCATAGCGATTACCTTATGCGATCCAACCATTGTACAAACTAAATCCACACATTTTTAGCCGACGTTTCGGGTGATCTACCTATAATGAAATAGTATCGAACTAAAAAATTAACTATTTCATTAAAAACTGTCCCTACAACACGTTGTAGCATGTCAATGCGTGTGACAGTAATGGTCTGCTGCGTCCCGGTTAAAATGTCTACTCCAATAGCTTTGACGAGTTGATAAAAATTAGCATTTCAAATCGAAAAGTTGGTGATATGATAACTTTTTAACGGCAGACAGTTATTTCCCGACCTCGACGAAATTTATGCGAGATAGGTTTGCGCGTGGAACGGTTTTCAGTTTTTTCCAAACGAATGGGAAATGTTTCAAGAGAACTTCACAAGATGTGAGTGCACCGCACATCTATTTAACCGCCAAAGTTGCCCATTTTTCTGTTCAACGGAAGACCAACACTATCAGCAACTCCAAACGCTATCGGAGCGGTAATATTCCGATATCATGGGTAACCTTAACAGGGGACGGACCGGGATCGCGGGCGTGGGATATCGGACGGCACGCGTCGACGCATAAGTGATGCTGGTCTGAATGTCACATTGACATGGGCGTCGCGGTTTCCAATAAGTTCGTGAAATCACGTACGCGCACCGGCGGTGTGTTGTCGCGCATATAATTTAACGAGAATACGAAAAAAAAAATTAAATGAACGCCAACGAATTACGTGACGGCTGGGCTGGCGGTGGACGGATAACGTTCGCCCTTACCTGAATATACCGAAAATGGAACCGATGGATACGAGACAGTCGATGTTCGACGACCCGTCCAGCGGATCGAAACATACGATGTATTTGCCCCGTTTCTCAGTCTCGATCTGAAAAATAACGAGGGAAAAAGTTTAAAAAAAAAAAAACGTGCGTGGGTCAAAGACTAAGCATGTTACACGTTAATAGTCTATCGTCGAACGGCCGTCCGAGCTCATATGACCCAGTACAATAGTGATATCGTGTACTATAAATGGTGACTATGCAAAGGCAACGACGACGCGTGTTCGAATGAGTTTCAGGAAAAAGTTTACGAAACAGTGCTGTACTGTGCACGACGAGTGATCGCGGAAATGTTCCATTTCGACTTACCCCATCTGTGCCCCAGCCCCCGGCTCGGTTCGAAACCGCAAAAAACAACTCGACAAACCCCCGTACCAGTGTTACGCGTTAATATCGTAGGGGTTCGTTCGAAACGAACGGACAAAACGGTGCGAGTTGAGAGACCCGGTAGCGTCCAAAATGCGCATTATCGTGCGTTTCGATTTCGAGGTTTCAATCTCGCATGAAAAACACATTATTACACGGTCCTACGGAATTCCAACACGCTTCCAGGCGTTCTCGTCCGAACCGTTATTCCTGATCGAATGGTCTTCTCCGGTTTTATTCGGCTTCGAATCCGGGGGGGGGGGGGGACGTCGATGGTGGACATTAAAATCGCGTGCACAAAGTACAATTTACAATAATAATGGGAAACCGGCGAGTTACGCTGTCACCAAATAAAAACGAACGCGTTTATTCGATCCGTCGGCTGTACGCGCTCGTAATGTTTTCCGAACGAGCCGACGAACCGATCATAACGTGATATATTGTGGTCACGTACCTCTATCACAGTCTCGTTCTCTTCGCTGACCATCATGTGGACGGTGTAAGACGACGCCAACATGTTGACGAACAGTTCGTTGCTGAGCACGTCTAACTTCTTGACGTCTTCGCCTTGCACGTTCGTGGATCCAGCCATGCCGTACCTGTAACGCAGCAAAACATTTATTACAAAAGCTGCGCGCTCGTTGGGCTTTAAGTGGCTAAAACAAAATCAAAATAGAATAAAATCGCAAAGGCCCCCATGTGATCCCAATACCGTTTCCATGACCCAACCATGTTTCGATTGCTGATGATTTGTACATTGTAAAAGTGTATACTCGTAATAATGCACAATCAATATTTAACAATGTGCAGTTGGTCGTTTTTTACCAGACTGCCGCGAACTTCGGAGAAATAAATCGTTACTGTACCGATGGATAAATGCTTGGACGTAAGAACATTAAGGAATGGTACTACGAAACAATAATATTTTGGATAATACATTTAAGATAATATTCTAAAAATAATTTGAATAAACGAATACATTTAAGATAATATTCTAAAAATAATTTGAATAAACGAAGATTTTGAAAGCAGAAAGATTGAAAAAAAATCTTCATCGGGCCATCTTGCAGCGAGTACACGTATACTAACGACCTGATTCTTTTATTAGGGTCGTTCTCGTAATTTGGGCGACGAGCGTATTATTTTTTGAGCGGTTGGTCGTGCGCGGCCGAAAGGAGAAGCATACAAGGATAAAAGAAAGATCGTGTGCCCGTGCACGACCGTGGCGACCAGGGCAAACCGAGGACCCCGTTATGGTCGGGTTCGTTAACGGTGCGTTGTACTCACAGATGGGCCAGTCCGGCCCTGCGCACGGCCGAGCTGACTGCCTTGACGGCCGTCTGGATGCTGGTCAACAGTTGCGTCAGGTCGCCGGTGGCCGATGGCACCTTCTTCTGTTCGGCCAGCACGAACCGCGTGAGCGTCATGCAGTTCGAGTCGAACGCCGGTGGCTCGTACTGCTGTTGCGACGACATGACGACCTGGTTGACTCGGTACGTGGTAGAGACTACGATGTGGATGTGCTGCTGATGGATCTGCGCGACGGGGGGACAAAAAAAAAACATGTAACGATTAAAAAAATAAAAATAAAACCCGTGTTTTTGTGTGTATTCGTTATCGGAGTACGACTCGGTTTACAAATAAAATGAATTTCGTTACGAATTTCGCACCGCGGTATTTTGAAAAACACACCTGGAATCACGGAAGCTTAAGTTTAACAATTTCTCTCGTAGTGATTAAGAAAGAAAAGAAAAAATTAAAACATTACGGCACGGAGATAAACTTCATTTCTATACGGTGTGAAAATCGGACACGAACTATTTGTTTACCTATTTATTTATACGTTAAATTTCAAAACGTTTTTAAAAATAATCGTAGAAACATGTCAATTGGACAGCAGTAACTTTCGTTACCTTAAAACAAATGTAACTTCGCGTTATGTTATTTGATGATGACTTGTTTAGGAAGAAAAAAAAAATGTGCACTCGACGAACAATCACCATCAACGACAGTAAAACGGTTTTTTGTACTCGCGCTGACATCGTACAATTTTTGTGTGCGGAAACGCGAAATTATATTTTATGTTCGTGTAAATCTACGCGGTATCGTACCATTCGTACGTGCGGTGATGGAAAACGCGCAGATTCACTGTTATCGTATCCGAATAAAACTACGTCATGTTACAGTCGATTCCCTGAGCTGCAAGTCCACATATCCTCTTTTGCAGGACATACGCTCTCTATTACGTATTTTATCCACCGTGCGCGCGCTCCATATCGATCACCATTCCAGGATTTTACGATCTCTACATCATATTATTGTGTGTGTTCGTATTTCGTTTTTGTACTCGGTTGAATAAAACAATTGTCGTCAAAACATTACAGTAACACATATGACACTATTGCATGCGAACAAATTGAACACACGAGTGAAACTTGAAGGACGTGCACCGGTCGGAATTCGGCCACTATCGCGCTACTAATGAACCAACACGACTAGACGCGGATCATCGTTTGTTTGACCGTACTACTGCTACGAAAATATTGTACCGGAAATCGAAAGCTAAACCTGAATTGTACTACTATGATTGTAATAAACTTCGATCAATTTTGTGCAGACGTTTACAATAATACAGTCCCCTCCGCGGTTGAAAGACTACTGTCACTTGCCTCCCGGTCACGCGTAACGTTTTTATTTCCCATACGGAACAATTGAACGACGATATCTTTATTAGGAAAATAAAAAAAAAAATCCCAAACAATTGTGTACAATATAAAATGACAGAAAATAAAAACGTTACCAATAATAATATTAACTTTGTACAACTCGTTCGGACAAAACAGACAACTCTTTGGAAACTTTGATACGTACAATTATACGCCAATGCTTCATAAAAATGTTGCGACAGGCTTATTGTAATCACGTCCAAATGAGAATTCCGTTTTTATTTCCACGTAGGTTTAATTGTTTTATACGTTTGTTATGTTTGTATGTTTGGAGGAAAAAAATGTATGATTCATTTTTAATCATACATACGAACACATGTAATATACATCGATGGTTTTTTTTTTTTTTTTTTTTTAGTATTTAATCAGTCCAATATTTTATGCTTTGATATGAAAAACTACGGTTTAACCGACGACGAGTCGCATCATCGATTTTCGATAATATGTCTAATCGATATGTTTGTTGAAAACCTATTCCACAACATAACTAACCGTTTTTTAATAATTTAACCGTGCAACATTATCTACGATAATAAAATGTATTATGTCGTCGGATCACGGCGTTACGAATGCAGTCGTTACGAACTTTCGTTTGAATCGAATTCACGGTCAAGCTGTTTACATATACCTATAATTTATGTCGTAGTATTGATAATAATGTGTACATCATGTTATATCATGATTCGTGGCTTATAACTGCAGCAGCTGCAACGTTTCAATCGGTTATTGATACGCGTCTGATTTCGCAACAATGTTTTTGAAAATACCTTTTGCGTGTTACATCGGTCACTTGTTACACTAATAATGTATTATATATTATGTGCGCGCATCAGGGTTGCGCACAGTTCAACGATTCAATAAGATTACCTAAACAAATATTGTTTTCTAGTTTTCAAATGGGAACCGATTGGAAATCGAAAAAAGAACCGCTTATCGGGTTGGCACAACAACAAAATATACAATAATAATAATAATAATAATAATAAGAATAAACATTATTATTGCATAATGATGTAAATAATTTCCGTGTTGAACATAGATTACATGAATTAAAGTATACTAAAGAAATAATATTGAAAATAAATTACAAATAAAAGCTTATTATGTATTGTTGAAAACACGTGTCTCATAAGAGTAGATTTGAATAGTGTTTTAAACGCAAACGGAGGTTTTTACTGAACGAAATGTATGCAAATAAATAAATAATAATGTGTAGTATGATTAGACATATTATTCATTTGAACATTAATTAATAATAATACATTATAAGATATATACATACATAAAAAATAATTAAAATATCTATTAATGTTTTTATTATTTTTTTGATAAAAAGCTATGTGTATGAATATTCGTAATGATTCAAAGAATAAAAAATATAATTTGGTACATTTATGATATGCAGAAATTCATGACGAATATTGTCGAAATCAGTGTGATGTTCCCAAAACTTTATTTTGCCATTTTTTTTGAAAGCTCCGAATCACAAATATTGTAAAATAATAAAAATTAAATAAAAATTAGTGAATAGTTGATACCAGACGATGAATTTTTAATGCAAAACCAATCGTATATTAAACATATAATAATACTCCAGGCTAAGTATTTATTTATACGCAAATTTCGTTTTAAATATAATTTTAAAACAATCATATTAAATTTATTCGTCGAATAAAAACGTTTTTAATGAAAATTTCAAAGTTTCATAAATAACAAATACATTGTAACATGGAGAATTTTGATTATATAGTTGTATTCATTTTCAGATCGCTGAAAATGATGATGTTTTGATTTTAGCCAGAAGAATAAGAACCATAATACGTATACATTGTACAAGTGTACTTCATTATAATATTTAACATATAGAGGGAAATACGTTTATTTTAATGTTCTCTCTCAAGCTATTATCTCTCGTTCTTCCTCTCTACCTCTCTCTCTTTATCTGTATTTATATATATATATTTTATCAACCTCGCCTATTTAATTAAAACCAAACCATTAACAGGTTATAAAAGCTTAAGGTCAATGAGGTTCGCGGAAGCGTGTTCATATAATATTATGTTAGTAAACAGCTCGATTATAATAATACAGTAACACTCCGGTAATTCGCTTTCTGGACGATGAAATCGTAACTGGTAGCACTCAGACTTAAAGTGAAATGATCTCCGATACGAATTTATTATACTATGATAAAAATACAAAAGGGGAAAATGATACAGTATTGACTCTTACGATTACTGTCGAATCTCAACATTTATCAGAAATACGAATATTAATCTCTTCTGTAGAACATACTGAAGACATTTTAGGTTACGTTAATAGAAAAGAAAACTTCCTTGCTGAAACGTATCCTAGTAATCCTAAGCAGACAAAAATTAACGATTTTTTTTTTTTTTATAAAAGTTAAAAAGAATAAATAGAAAAATTAATAATAATTGATTTATTAATGTAATATATGTTATTAAATTATATTCAATAATAGAAATACTGATAAATATGCATATAAATAATTTAAATTCAATGTTTTAATGACTTATATTTTTTTTCGATTTCCGTATTAGATGCTTTGGCGAGCTAGTCCCTTAGATGAATTTTACTGTATATACTGGTATGCGTGCATTGTTATTGTAAACAATTAAGTTGCCTGGAATTGTTATTAAACAACATACGTGGATGTTTCCGCGAGAAAATTGCGTTTAAAGTAAATGTGTATTCGTTAAAAATTATTCTACATAAATTAAGATTGTATGTGTCAAACGTTCTATGAATCAAAAAATGAAAGATTTATATAAATATTTATAACTGATTTAGGTTCTATGCAGCCTTCTGTACGTTTCTAAATGTCAATTTCGTTAAATATTAGTTCACCATTTTTTTCACCATGTTCATAAATGGTGACCGTTATAAGTGCCATGGTCATTGTTTGCGAAAGTAGTAATCTTATGATGATTACAACAATTATAATATAGTTTGTTATAATTATTATTAATTACAAACACTGATGTTATTGTAACCGTTGCGTTTTCTATTCAAATTTTATAAGTTATTACCGTTGTTGTGGAGATTGAAAGTATAAATTTACTAAGTTGTAAGAAAAAAAAGAAATAAACATTGCAAAAACAAAATTTCGAACACAATTTTAAACAATTTTTCGAACACAACCAAGTTACCAAATTCAACATGTTCGATCATCAAAGTTTCATCTATTACACCCAAAAAAGTCTATTATAAAATAACATTTTCTGATGAAAAACTTTGGAATAGTTTTAACGGAATTAAAATAATTGCTACTACAAACCAACTTAAAATCAGACGTTGTACCGATTGATCCACATTGTCATCAAGAAAAGAAAAATATCGATTGGCCATTATTCATGTTTTCCTATAGAGCATAAAAACTTCTATCAAAATATTAAGTCGTGAACTAATTTTTCTAAAATTGTTGATAACGATATTATGTTCAATCAAAAGTTTTTTTTAATTTATTTTGAAATCTGTGTTGTTTGGAAAATGAATTGTTTATTTTGCATTACATATTTAAACGAAAAAAATATGTTTATTTTACGTTAAAGTTATAATTTTGTTGTATTTATATGACAAATAACGATTCTCTGTTATTTAAAATGAAATATTGTTACTTACAACAAGTATTACGAGCACACCATTTGGTACTTGGAATATTAATATTACAAGACTTGACACTTGGAACTGACATTAACAACTATTTAATTTTAACTGATATTAAATGACAAGTATAATAATGGAATTTAACTAGGCTACAAATACATAACACATAATTATTATTGATTATTTTGAATGTAATGCTTTTTTGCGTTTTCCGATAACATTTTTCATGACACATAGAACGTTTAACGCATTCACTCTAATAAATATAGATATAGATGCGGTCGATTTGCATTATATGCATATGCAGGGTCAACGTCTTGGTCAGGAATTTTTCACGAGCTTCTAGTCTTGTTATGAGTAAAAATATGATGGATTCGCACCTGACAGCAGTTGCGCAATAACAACAAGTCCGTATGTGTTCTGATTTATTAATATTGAGAACCGCGATATACATGTATATACTGTATAAATATCGTTCTGATGTTTTAGAGTGAAGACACTGCACACAGGGTTGTGTGCCACGAGGGCTTACTAATCTTACGTGCGGTTAATTGAATCGAAAACTTGTTCACCGCACCACTGGCAAATTTTCGTTGCGTTTAATGTCATCTGGGGTTCTTTTATAGCGGTTGTACAAAAATTAACCGTTCTGCAGACGAGAATGACTTCGGAAACGACCGGAGAACGATTTGGTTCAACCGCATCGTATTCTTTTAAACCCCTCTGGAACCGGAAAACAAATCGATTTCGATGGTGCCATGACGAGCTGCGCGCGTATTTTGTATACATATTATGCACTTACACACGGGAGTACACCACGATATTACCAGTGCAGATGAGATTTTTCCGTGAAAACAAACCCCTTCAGTCGAGATGTTATCGCGGTTCTCCTTCGCGCGCCCGCACGGTCGCTGTTTCGGTGTTACTGGATCGTAAAAATAAATAAACGCGGAATTTTTTCAGACCGCATACGAATGAGGTACTTATCGACATCGTGTTATTATTCTGCGGAGCGGTTGAAAAATGACCGGAGAGAAGAAACTCGGCACAACACCTTTTTATACATCTACGATCATGTGCACCGCGGGAATCCCGAAAGACTAGGCGGATTTTTATTTTATTCATCCTCTTCCCCGTAGTCACTCCATCGAACCCTTCGGCCGTTTTAGCCCGATGGACTTTTACCGTGCAACCAGATTTCGCATCGCATATCCGGGAAACGCGCGATAAAAAAAAAAAAAACAAAAAAACGAAAAAACCAACTCTCCACTACCGCGTACGCGGACGCGCACCATTCGGAACGGCAACCGTGAAACTTTGATTTGAATTTCTGGTTATTAACGAACACTTTTCCGCCCCCGAACCGCTGTGTTACGGTCAACGGTGGCGGGTTCGACGTTTCGATTGGTTTACAACCGTCCCGGAAGGTGTACGCGTCAACGTGCGGCGTCAGGGATCCGCGTCGTCTTCGGGACGGTCGCGCGCGAACGTCACGGCGAGTGACCGGCAGCCGATCGACGAAACGGCTAGACGATAAAACGGAATAAGGACGATGTTCTTTCACGCGTCCGCGGACCGAGGCCGAGACGCGACGGGGTGAGCGGTCGTCAAGCGATCCGCATCGTCGGTAGCGGGTGGAACGCGCCGCGAGCGGGGGGCGAAAACTTGCGGTCCTCGGGGACGGGGTTTGGCGGGACGACGGGAAGGGGTAAAAAAAAAAAAACACCGAAGACTTGTTACCTTTATGGTGACGGGCGCGGGAGACGACGGCGGCGACGACGCGACGTGTGCTCGTTGTACGCGGACCGGTGCACGACTGGTGCGCCGGTTGACGTTGGACGACCGAGACGGGGGACGGAGCGGAGCAGCGCATTTACTATTCATAGACCGCCGATTTCGTAACACCGCACACACGTCGTCCGTGACCGAGCGCGTAGCGTTTCGTCGAGATGATATTGTTTGCGCGCGACCGTGCGCACGCGCGACCGAACGAAAACGCGCCGTAACATCGTACACGAGTAGAACCTCGACTGTCCGACCTCATCGGCAGGGCCCGGCGTAAGCCACGGGCGACGGCGCCGAAAGGGCCGCCAAACCGAAAATTGTTTTCATCCAATGTATCTTTTGATACGCATTTTGACGATCTACAGGGAGTAAGAATACAACGGTTGCGCTTTCTAATGTTTAAACTAACGAGTTACAGTCAACGGGCACCTGATCAACATCCATGTTCTTTGTTCGGTTAATTTCTACGTAATATTTTCGTTCCTTGTTGGTTATTCATACAACGAACTCCGTTCTCTGGTTGTCTCAATAAACGAGTTGTTAGTGAAACACAGTGTTCCTATATCGTAGGCAGTGGTGGCGGCAAATAATATTTTCCCCGAAAAAACTTTCAAAAAGTAAAAAACGCCAAGCTCAAAATTAGAACTGTTATGTTCTTGCAACGAAAAAACAAAAACCTGTCCAAAAAATGCGTTCATATAATACTAAGTTATTATACTAAATGTGTACCTATTAATTTTATTTAAATTCTCTAAAAAACTTTATTTTATTACTACTCAAAATAAGTGAGTTGGAGGGGGGGGGGTTCAAGGGTGGCAAAACATGGTTTTGCCCAAGGCGCCAATACTTCTAACGCCGGCCCTGCTTATCGGGGACCGCGGACCTCAGTGCATTTTTTAAATGGTTAACTAGGCGACACAGATTATACTCTGCCGACAGTATTTTAAGAGATCGGATGAAATAATGCGAAACAAATGTGTTGTACTGTAATCGTACTACGGTTAGGTTACACTATTTTGAAAAAAACATTTATTGTCGCTCAGTGAAAATCCCTTATAAAATGCACCGGCGCACCTGGTTCGGATGTCGGAAACACAAGATCGAATCAAACGTTTACTGCTGTTAAAATATTTTATTAGAATTACGTACGTCACGTTGACAGAAAACATTGCATCGTGTTAGAAATCCATTACGTTTATTTTGTTTACGATATTTTTTTTTTTTTTTTTTTGACAAAACTATCGACTTTTAATTTGACGACGAGCTGCAACGGCGGCCAAGTATCGGATACGAGTTTTCGCGTTCGGATAACAGAACGTTCTACTGTATATTAATCACGGAGTGCGATGGATCGAGCGGGGACACGCGTTGGCGTTCGGTTCTAATCGATATTCTCACAACATCGATCGAAAAACGTGTTCAACCGCGGTCGTCTCCTGCACACGACGCACGTCGTGACCCTTTGGGTGTAATATCAAAGTTCTGCCCACCAGTGGAAATCATGACGAGTACGAATTTCCATTCCGCTTTATCCGTACTGACATCGTAGTTGGTGTGATTTTTTTTGTTTTATAAACGTCCACTTGTCGTACCTACACGTCCAATGCATATAACTATAATGATAATAGTAATGATTATCGTATCAACTAAATTTTATGTGGATTTATCGCGAAACCATAAACTCTTAACATACGTACTGTGTTATTTGGTCGAAGCTGTGTTCTAATAATTTCGTTCATTTCGCTTATTTTCTAATGTCCATTGCTATTTGATGTTCTTATTTTAACATATGTATTGGCTTAAAACATTTTTTTTCAACTTCTATTATTTTGAATATAATACGATGGTGACGATAAACATTTTAGTCGATTCCGGAGTGAAAACTTACACAGGCGTTTGATTAATTGACTTTTTCAAGAACTAGCACTAAATACTAGGAGGAAAAGTACTGGTTTCCTCTATGTAATTTGTCATTAAGTAATCACAATGTTCGTTTATTTTATTATTATCTAGGTTTTTAGCCATTATCGTTCCTCCGAGTCCATTGTCCGTAGTTCACTTGGTCCACTCGACTCCACATATGCTGACCGCGTAACAACATAGCCCCGAATGATTTAATAATAATAACCATTGTCGTACACAGTGTCGGCCGAATTAAGACATTTTAAATCATCCTTAGAATTTTAGAACTTTTTTTAATAAACATGAAATTGTTTAATTTGGTATTTATTAATTTTTTTTTATAATGGAAGGTCAAAGGGTCAGTATTTAGTCCCCGTCCTCCCTAAAAATTGTTCAACCTATGCTCTTATCTATACCTGATTTAATTAGTATTTTAATAACCACACATTTTATTTAAAAGCCACGAGAAAAATAATAAAATAATATGTTATCAATCTTTTTAATATAATTATATAAACTAATAAGCAACGTTAACCCTTTCAGTCTCATTAGCCTTCCACAAGGCCATGAAGTACATAAATTGATATAAAATAATTTATAAACGGTAGTAACGTATTTATTGGCGAATAACAGGTAAAATGTTGTGTAGAACAATTTGAAAATGTAAAAACTCATGTTTAAATTGTTTTTATAAGACTTTATCATACTTAAAAAAAATCTTTTTATAAATTTTGAATTTCATTGTTATCAGTTTGAATATTGTTGATTATTCGCACAAATGTCGTTATACAAAATCGGATTTTTGTAATCTCCATGATAACATGTATAAGATTGACGACAAATAGTCGAAATGTACTTTGAACCGCCAAACGGTGCGCAACATGTGTTTATTCTTTGGCCTCCGGGAAGGCCATTGGGCGTTTGTGGTATCAAAATATTCGAATTTCGAAACACCGTTATCATGATTATCACACAATAGTATAATACTTCTATTATTTAAATTTTTATTTCTTTAATTTTAATTTAGTTTATTTGATAAATTTGTTAAACTCACTTGTTATTGTTTACTTATTAGTTATTTTCTTAATAATACATAAAACTGTAGATTTAACAATGCCATGACTATAATTTATTAACCAGAAATCCAAGAGTCAAAAAATTTTTAATATACATAACAAATACTCCAAATGATCCAACAATCACACAAAAAAAATTTTTTTTCATAAAAAAAATAATTCGGGACTGAAAGGGTTAATACTGTTATAAAAATGAAAATAATATATAAAAATAACAATTTTGTAAACATGATTAAAGTTAAAGTTGAATTTGATAGTTAAAATTATTTTACATCAAACTGGGCAAACTACGTAAGTGCATTATCATTATTTTTTTTTTTTTTTTAATAAATTTATAAAAACAAATACTTTCCCTTGACTTTTTGACTATTTAACGGATTGGTCGAAATATCCATTCCGTGAAATAGATTCAAGCAGAAAATTTCCAACATCAACAATGGCAAATTAATTTAATTTTTCTTTCGAAAAAGTAGATCGCGAACAATTTTTGGCTATAAACTATTCTATAAAAAGTTTGACTCTTTAAAATCATGCGCATTTTAAGTAAATTTCATTAGGTGGCACTTCAATAAAATAGTCTACCATCGTAGTTTAGTTGATATCCTCATTTTTTGACATACGAGTACACATTAAACTGATCCTTAAAATGTTACTCACGACAGGGATAAACATTTTGTCGAAGAATCCTACGGATAAGTGAAACAGAAAATAAAATATATAACGCAATCAAGCGAAAATTCAGATACACCAAATAATATTGTACTAGCTTTCTACTATGTTTTGACGTTAAATAAAATTATATATGATTAAAATAAAAACTACCGTAGTACCATAATAATTGTACGACAATAATTTGAAAATTTACAATTAACACAGTATAAAAATATTTTAAATACACAATTAATATGATCTAATTTCATGTTGAATATTTTAATTAACTGGTTAGCAACAATAGTCGTACGTATTAAGGTTTTAAATGATAACACATACAACTAATTTAAATTTCAGTTTCGACATAATACGAATAGTTTATTTTCAAATCTCGCGAGAATCTAAGTCATGTGATTTCGGTGTTTTATAAAAATAATATTATTTAGTAGTTGCCATAGGCATTATCGAAAAATCAACTGACTCTTACTGTTACCGTTGGAGACAGCTGTTGATACCTCGATAAAACAATCAATCCTATATTTTTTTCGGCAATCTCATTCGTTCTATATTTCGTATAAACAATCGTTTGTATAATATATTCATTTCAGACACATCTGGAGCGTATCTGATGGTTTGTTTCTTTAATTAATTGTAATTAGTAAATAACAAAACGATGAACGATACGGAGGCAAGTTGTGACCAGCAGTCACCAGCAAGTGAAGGAAGTGACGTACTCGATGGAGAAGTGCTCGTTATGCAAGAAGAGATATCATCTTCTATATCCGCCTAATTTTTATTTTATTTTATTCGTGTCAGGCGCATAGTAGA